CTGTCATCAAGAGGCCAGCCAATGAGTAATCACATGTTAGTCTATGAGTCAGCCAGTAACTCAACTGTCATCGGGAGGCCAGTCAATTAGTAATCACACGTTAGTCTATGAGTCAGCCATTAACTCAACTGTCATAAGGAGGCCAGTCAATGAGTAATAGCATGTTAGTCTATCAGTCAACAGTAACTTAACTGTCATCAGGAGGCCAGTCAATGAGTAATTGCATGTTAGTGTATCGGTAAACCAGTAGCTCAACTGTCACCAGGAGGCCAGACAATGACTAATCAAATGCTAGTCTATAAGTCAGCCAGTAACTCAACTGTCATCAGGATGCCAGTCAATTGTTAATCACATGTTGGTCTATGAGTCAGCCAGTAACTCAACTGTCATCAGGAGGCAATTCAATAAGTAATAGCATGTTAGTCTATAAGTCAACAGTAACTTAACTGTCATCACGAGGCCAGTCAATGAGTAATTGCATGTTAGTCTATCAGTCAACCAGTAACTCAACTGTCATCAGGAGCCCAGTCAATGACTAATCACATGTTAGTCTATAAATCAGACAGTAACTCAACTGTCACCAGGAGGCCAGTCAATGAGTAATAGCATGTTAGTCTATCAGTCAGCCAGTAACTCAACTGTCATCAGGAGGCCAGTCAATGAGTAATTGCATATAAGTCTATCAGGCAACCAGTAACTCAACTGTCATCAGGAGGCCAGTCAATGACTAATCACATGTTAGTCTATAAATCAGACAGTAACTCAACTGTCACCAGGAGGCCAGTCAATGAGTAATAGCATGTTAGTCTATCAGTCAGCCAGTAACTCAACTGTCATCAGGAGGCCAGTCAATGAGTAATTGCATATAAGTCTATCAGGCAACCAGTAACTCAACTGTCATCAGGAGGCCAGTCAATGACTAATCACATGTTAGTCTATAAATCAGACAGTAACTCAACTGTCACCAGGAGGCCAGTCAATGAGTAATAGCATGTTAGTCTATCAGTCAGCCAGTAACTCAACTGTCATCAGGAGGCCAGTCAATGAGTAATTGCATATAAGTCTATCAGGCAACCAGTAACTCAACTGTCATCAGGAGGCCAGTCAATGACTAATCACATGTTAGTCTATAAATCAGACAGTAACTCAACTGTCACCAGGAGGCCAGTCAATGAGTAATAGCATGTTAGTCTATCAGTCAGCCAGTAACTCAACTGTCATCAGGAGGCCAGTCAATGAGTAATTGCATATAAGTCTATCAGGCAACCAGTAACTCAACTGTCATCAGGAGGCCAGTCAATGACTAATCACATGTTAGTCTATAAATCAGACAGTAACTCAACTGTCACCAGGAGGCCAGTCAATGAGTAATAGCATGTTAGTCTATCAGTCAGCCACTAACTCAATTGTCATCAGGAGAACAGTCAGTGAGTAATACCATGTTAGTCTATCAGTCAGCCACTAACTCAACTGTCATCAGGAGGCCAGTCAATGAGTAATAGCATGTTACTCTATCAGTCAACCAGTAACTCAACTGTCATCAGGAGGCCAGTCAATGAGTAATTGCATGTTAGTGTATCAGTCAACCACTAACTCAACTGTCATCAGAAGCCAGTCAATGAGTAACTCAACTGTCATCAGGAGGGTAGTCAATGAGTAACAGCATGTTAGTCTATAAGTCAGCCAGTAACTCAACTGTCATCAGGAGGCCAGTCAATGAGTAATCACATGTTAGTCCATCAGTTAGCCAGTAACTCAACTGTCATCAGGTGGCCAGTCAATGAGTAATCACATGTTAGTCTATAGGTCACCCAGTAAATCAACTGTCATCAGGAGGCCAGTAAATAAGTAATAGCATGTTAGTCTATCAGTCAGCCAGTAACTCAACTGTCATCAGGAGGCCAGTCAATGAGTAATCACATGTTAGTCTATCAGTGAACCAGTAACTCAACTGTCATCAGGAGGCCAGTCAATGAGTAATTGTATGTTAGTCTATCACTCAACAGTAACTTAACTGTCATCGGGAGGCCAGTCAATGAGTAATTGCATGTTAGTCTATTATTTAACCAGTAACTCAACGGTCATCAGGAGGCCAGTCAATGAGTAATAGCATGTTAGTCTATGAGTCAGCCAGTAACTCAACTGTCATCAGGAGAACAGTCAATGCGTAATAGCTCGTTAGTCTATCAGTCAGCCAGTAACTCAACTGTCATCAGGAGGCCAGTTAATGAGTAATCACATGTTAGTCTATCAGTCAACCAGTTACTCAACTGTCATCAGAAGGCCAGTCAATGAGTAACATCATGTTAGTCTATCATTCAGCGGGTCACTCAACTGTCATCAGGAGGCCAGTCAATGAGTAACAGTATGTTAGTTTATCAGTCAACCAGTAGCTCAACTGTCATCAGGAGGCCAGTTAATGAGTAAGGGGATGTTAGTCTATCAGTCAACCAGTTACTCAACTGTCATCAGGAGGCCAGTCAATGAGTAATAGCATGTTAGTCTATCATTCAGCGGGTCACTCAACTGTCATCAGGAGGCCAGTCAATGAGTAACAGTATGTTAGTGTATCAGTCAACCAGTAACTCAACTGTCATCAGAAGGCCAGTCAATGAGTAATAGCATGTTAGTCTATCAGTCAACAGTAACTTAACTGTCATCAGGAGGCCAGTCAATGAGTAATTGCATGTTAGTCTATTATTCAACCAGTAACTCAACTGTTATCAGGAGGCCAGTCAATGACTAATCACATGTTAGTCTATAAGTCAGCCAGTAACTCAACTGTCATCAGGAGGTCAGTCAATGAGTAAGGGCATGTTACTCTATCAGTCAGCCAGTAACTCAACTGTCATCAGCAGGCCAGTCAATGAGTAATACGATGTTAGTCTATCAGTCAGCCAGTAACTCAACAGTCATCAGAAGGCCATTCAATGAGTAAGGGCATGTTAGTCTATCAGTCAGCGAGTAACTCAACTGTCATCAGGAGAACAGTCAATGAGTAATAGCATGTTAGTCTGTCAGTCAGCCAGTAACTCAACTGTCATCAGGAGGCCAGTCAATGACTAATCACATGTTAGTCTGTCAGTAGGCCACCAACTAAACTGTCATCAGGAGGCCAGTCAATGAGTAATAGCATGTTAGTCTATCAGTCAGCCAGTAACTCGACTGTCATCAGGAGGCCAGTCAATGAGTAACCACATGTTAGTCTATCAGTCAGCCAGTAACTCAACTGTCATCAGGAGGCCAGTCAATGAGTAATAGCATGTTAGTCTATCAGTCAGCCAGTAACTTAACTGTCATCAGGAGGCCAGTCAATGAGTAATCACATGTTAGTCTGTCAGTCAGCCACCAACTAAACTGTCATCAGGAGGCCAGTCAATGAGTAATAGCATGTTAGTCTATCAGTCAGCCAGTAACTCGACTGTCATCAGGAGGCCAGTCAATGAGTAATCACATGTTAGTCTATCAGTCAGCCAGTAACTCAACTGTCATCAGAAGGCTAGTCAATGAGTAATAGCATGTTAGTCTATCAGTCAGCCAGTAACTCAACTGTCATCAGGATGCCAGTCAATGAGTAATCACATGTTAGTCTATCAGTCAACCACTAACTCAACTGTCATCAGGAGGCCAGTCAATGAGTAATAGCATGTTAGTCTATCAGCCAGCCAGTAACTCAACTGTCATCAGGAAGCCAGTCAATGAGTAAAAGCATGTTATATCAGTCAACCAGTTACTCAACTGTCATCAGGAGGCCAGTCAATGAGTAAGGGCATGTTAGTCTAGCAGTCAGCCAGTAACTCAGCTGTCATCAGGAGGCCAGTCAATGAATAATCACATGTTAGTCTATCAGTCAACCAGTAACTTAACTGTCATCAGGAGGGCAGTCAATGAGTAAGGGGATGTTAGTCTATGAGTCAACCAGTAACTCAACTGTCATCGGGAGGCCAGGCAATGAGTAGTTGCATGTTAGTCTATTAGTCAGCCAGTTCTCAGGGTTCTTAAATGAAACCAGAACCCATAACACTTGTCACAGGTGTCACAAAATAATAAGTTTTATGGTTGTCCAGGTGCTTTTACTGGGAGATCAATAAAAGGAAAAAGTTTGTGGGTAAATCACTATGTAAAGTATGACTGTTAGTTGCTTTTGCAATGTACATGTACCTATCTTTGGTTTTAGTTGACAAAATGAACAGCTTGTTATGAGGCCACAGATTGACCGAACAATCACTTAATGCTCTGCAGCGTTTCTGTTACGTTGGAAAATGGCCATCATATTGAACAATTTTGTGCATTTTAACCTTAACCTCTCACAGATGTCATCTTTCTACATGTAAAAACATGACCGCTGCAAAGGCTTCTTTCTGAGCATCTTAAATCAAAATTTTTGAATGGTAGCATGCAATGTGTTACACCTATAAGGAGCCACGCAGTGGCTGCACAAAATTCTGTGGAGAACCCTGAGCTCTTGAATCAGAAGGTCAGTCAGTGTGTTAAAAAATTTGTCAATCGGTCATCCAGCATTTGAATTAGTATAATATCAGTAAACCAACAACCCTTGAATCAGTAGGCCAGTCAGTGAGTCACCACATGTTAATCAATCAGCCTGTTAGTAAGTTATACAACCCTTAAATCAGTAGGCCAGTCAGTGAGTCACCACATGTTCATGTTGATGTTCAAGCAGTCAGTCAGAAGTCAGACAACCCTTGAATTAGCAGATATAGGCCAGTCAGCAGTCAACGGTGAAAAATTGGACGAGGTTGACAGCTTCAAGTATCTGGGTGCAGTCGTCACAGATCAGGGTTCCAAGCCTGAAGTACTGTCCAGAATTACAGAGACAACAGCAGCACTAGCGAGACTGAAGACCATCTGGAGTGATATGCATATATGTCTCTAAGCTCAAAGATCAGATTAATGCGTGCCCTAGTTATCTCAGTACTATTGTACGCCTGCGAAACCTGGACATTGACAGCAGACATCCTGAAGAATTGCAGGCCACTGAGATGAGATGCTTTAAGAAACTACTTGGCATCTCATACAGAGATCACATCACTAATGATGCAGTCAGAGACAGAATCAGGCGAGCCAATGGGCCCTATGATGATATCTTAACCACAGTAAAGAAACGCAAGTTAAAGTGGTTTGGGCATGTATCAAGATCATCAGGCTTTGCCAAGACGATTATACAAGGAATAGTGCAAGGAGGGAGAAGAAGGGGCCGACAGAAGAAGCATTGGGAGAACAATATCGCTGAATGGACAGGGTTGAAGTTTTGCGATGCCATAAGAGAAGCTGAAAACAAAATAAAATGGAGGGAGAGGGTGCAACGTCGTGGCGCCCCAACGGTCGTTGACTATGGGATAGGTGCAGGTGCAGGTGCAGGTGCAGGCCAGTCAGTGAGTCACCACATGACATTGTCAGTTGGTCAGTCACCCTTGAATCAGTAGACCAGTCAGTGAATCACCACATGTTAGTCAATCAATAAGACCATCAGTTAAGCCTGGATGGTTTACCAGGTCAGTGAGTCACCACAAGTCAGTCAGTCAGTTAACTCAGTCAATCAATCAATCAATCAATCAGTAAGTCAGTCAGTCAACCCTTCAATCAGTGGACCAGTCAGTTTGTTACCTATTTCTAACTCATGATTCAGAATAATCGAGGCTAGGAAACAAAGAAAGTTGAGAATCAACTTGGGTTAAAAGTCATTCTTGTCTTGAATTAATTTTCACCTATAACATAACACTTAATAGTTGATAATTTCTAATTAAATAAACAAAAACTGTTACAATTATAACTATTATTTTGGGCAAGTTAATCCATTTGCTCCTCAGCAGGGCTAAATTGTAGGTTACAAGCCAAAGATCACAAGTCATAGATCACAGACAGAATGATTTGGTGACATATACCGAAATCACTTGAGGCTTATACAAAATCTAGTCAAATTATTGAAACCATGCCTAGCCCCCTTGGGGACGGACCATGGGTGGGGGGGGGGGGGGGAAGTAAAAATGGGAATTAAATGAAAAAAAAAAATAATGCATTAAAATTAACCCTAAAAAAAATTCATGCACTAGCCAAAAAATTTCATAAATGGGAAAAATTAAGGAAAAAAATCAGGCGTCTCGAAAATTCCCACCCCTCTGTAGACCTACAAAACTTT